CTGTGAGCACTGACGTCACGACACACACATGCACACGCATCTCAGAGTTACTCACACGCGTGTCCAGGTCTCACGCCGCAGCCGTGCGTCCCGTGTCTCGCACCGACGGACAGGATATCCATGTAGGATCTTCTCAGACGTCCTGCGGGGGGAAAACTGACTTATGAGGCTTTTGATGAAGGAAAGCGGTGTCAGCACAGACATTTGACAGTGATGAGGTGAAATACATCAAGACCTTCATCATCATCATCATATCTTTATGACTGTCAGCAGAAGTTGCGGCTTCATATCCAAGGGTTTTCTCTGCTTGCTGTTGTTGTTTGTGAAGACTGGATGAGAAAATCTGACTGATCTGGAAACTTTGCATCAGTGATTTTCTTATTCTCCTGTTTGTTTTTCTGTGAAGCTGCTCAGAATCGCATGAAGCACTATAGAAATAAAAGAGACTTTATACTGACTCCAGAATGTTCCATTGTTTTTTCTTGGCCTTCTAAGACTCTATTAACTTCCATGACTATAAACAAACATTCATTCCTGGGATTCGGTAACATCTTAACTTGGAATATATATTTTTTTCTACTACACATGATTAATTTTCTAAATACTCCACATCATAAGGCACACATCAAACATCCAACAAATCATATTTCCCCACCTCAGGCATTAAAGACCTTTTATTATTTTCAGATTTAGACACCTTTTATTCTCAACCCCAAAATGGAATTAGTTTAAAAAGGATTTTACACAGAACTTGTAATAAAAACAAACATGCTCATGTGTCCCTCATAGCAATTTAATGATAACGAACATAACATTTATCATAATGTTCACATTTTTATAGGACATAAGTTAAAAATAGACAAATTGTGTGTCTATGGGCTCTTTATTTCTGTAAAAAAAATCTAATTTAATTTAGATGTTTATCTAAAACCACAATTTTATTGTTTTAGTCCTTATAAAATGTTGAAAAATAGTAAGTTTCCATCTTAACATTATGTGACGGGGTTGTTAAGCTTGACCGTACGCTCCCTGCATTTAAATACGCCTGAAAATATGAATAAAAAGTATAATGCTACTAACCATTTTCCGCGCCACTATTAAAGAGACCTGAATGATGTAATTTCTGCTAAATGATGTCACATATGAGTGGATTATTAAATTATTCATGTAGAATTGTTAGTGTGACGGGGTTGGGTTCAGACTGAGGGACTTTAAAGTCTGTTTACTTATATATATATATATATAGACACTGCACACTTTGTTAATAATTTCCTCAGAGACATGACAAAATGCTTGGTGTAAGATATAAATGGGACATTATTTTAGGCTAAAACTGCAATTATTATTTTTTATTCATTATAATGGGCATACCAAAGTCTTGTAAACAGCTTTTAAAACTTCATTTTAGTGAACCACCACTTTTAAAAGTCTGGGGGACTGAAATATTACCGAATCCCAGGAATGACCCATATAATAATTTCAGCACTGAGACTCTGAGAAGATGAAGAAGGTGATGATGATGAAGGTGATGATGAAGATGATGGTGATGAAGGTGAAGATGAAGGTGGTGGTGATGAAGATGATGGTGATGATGATGAAGATGATGATGGTGATGGTGATGATGAAGAAGTCCTCACCTGTGATTTTGGCCTGTGGTTCTGTGATCTCCATTAACACTGATCTCTGATCAGAATCATCTGCCATCTTAAACTCGTTCTTCTCTTCCTGCAGGAATGGCGCGATAAAGCCTTAGTTTTTCAGCGTGAAACTAAAGTAACCTTCGGGATCGCGACTTAAAACACCAATGAAAACTAAAGAAACTAACATTCTGAAGAACATCAATGAAACTAATCAAGAAACAGCGATGAAGCGCGGAGCAAAGTTCTCTTCGGCGCCGAGAGCGTGCGCTCTGCACGCATTTATCCCGCCAGGCCCCGCCCACAGCATTTAGCGCGAGGGCGGGGCTTCCGTTCGTGCGCTCTGATTGGCTCGATGCTGCGAGGCGTCATTCTGATTGGTTGGACGTCAGTGCTGTGCCGTAGAAGCTCAGGATCGACTAAACTGTGAGTTCAAGGCTTTCATTTGAGCTTAACTTCATTTTAATCAGTGTTGGGAAGGTTACTTTGGAAATGTAATAGGTTACAGATTACAAGTTACCCTATTTAAAATGTAATAGTAGTGTAACTTTTTCAATTACTTTATTAAAGTAATGTAACTGATTACTTTTGATTACTTTTTGATTGCTTTTCTAAATTTCTAATGAATGTTTATTTGCAACTGTTAATCATTTACAAACAAGATTATGTTTATGTGTTCATGTACTCATATATCGAGGCGGCAGAGGCTGCAAACCGCAAGCTTCAGTAGGCCTGTGTGTACTAAATGAAACCGCATGTCTGCACCATTAATTTCCACGAGGGGCGGACT